AGAAGGGAGGGGGGAGAGAGAAGGGAGGAACGGGAGGTCGAGAGGGGGGGCAAGGTCAAGGGGGGAGGTACCTAGACCAAGATAGGGAGAGCTAGTAAAGGCGTGGAGCCTTGGTATTAGTTATGACTATACCCTCCGATCCGAGGATGGGGGGGTACCACCTATTGGGGGTATGTGGATAGGACGAAGCAAGAGAAGAGAATCTCGGGGAGATGCCGTCTCTTGCGTCGGACCATGTGGACCAAAAGAGGTTATACAACAGTAGATAATAACAGTAAAATAGAACAAAACAATTCAAAAACAGAAACAAAAACATAAACGTGATGCCCAAGGAGCAGCCAAGTGCATGGAGCGCGGGGAGGGGGACAACCAAGCACCAGCAAGGGCTCTCAAGCCCAACATAACTGATAGCAAGCAGCTATAAGGCACAGGTGGGATCCATGGATCAGTGCATCCGGGGAAACACGCCAGCCCCCCATACCTCCACGAGCACCCCCTTTTTTTGTTTTTTTTTTGTTTGTTTGCCCCCTACCGGGGCCAGGGAGGGCAGGGGATCTAAAGGTCCCCCAGCCCTCTCGCTCCCCAGGCAGCGGGCAAACAATAATGGGAAGGTCTCTTGTACGTGTGCGTAGGTGCACGTCAGAGGGAGCAGGAACACGGGCACTGGGCCTCGAGGAGCAGACGGCATATAGAGACCAGGGTCAGGCCCCTAGCATTCTCATTGACCAATTCAATGCGGTGGGTGAGATCGTGGAGTTCCTTCTTTAAGGCCGCAACTATAGAGGAGGCCATATGATCGAGGTCCCTTTTAGTGGGCAGCTGCGGCAGCCGGCCCTGTAGGCCGCTCTCCCCCTGTGTATCCAGGCTCAGCATGCATGCCGACAGAGAGGGCTGGGTGGGGAGTCTGGGCGTGCTGTGTCCTGTGAGGTGCTCGTCAGCCTCGGGCAGTCTGGGTCTCGGGGCTCTCCCTGATCAGGGAACGGGTGTGCTGTGCTGCGTCCCAATTTCTTTCCCGAGAGGAGGCCGGCCGCTGATGAACGGGTAAGCGCCATCTTGGATGCAGGCGAGGCCGCGGGAATCGGCGTCTGGCGGGCAAAAAAATCATAGAGGGAGGCAGTTCTGAAGTCGCCGTGGGTCCTCGGCTCCTTGGGCATGGAGGAATTGTAGGGCAAAGAGTCCGCTAAATCGTCGGTCCGGCACATTGGTGGCAGAGCTCTCCCAAAGCGTGTGCTCACGGCTCCATGTCCAAGCCACGCCCCCCTGCTAGGGAGATTTAACCCATTTTGTCTCCATTACAGAAAAAAAAAAGAAAATCCAACATTTTAAAACTGTCACAGGGCGTAAGAAATTATCTTCTAATAGGGAAACCGATTTTAAAGACAACTATCTAAAAGGGGAGATCTCCTCTTACTTCCTGCTGTGCCTCTGGGACAGGAAGTGAAGGGAAATCTCCATTATGGGACAAAGCCAGCAAATACAAAACAGCAGAACCTATTAACCCCCCTCCCCTGCAGTTTACTAATCAGTAAATACTCTGTAACTATACATAAACCGGTACTACAAGCAACAAGTTGATTCTAATTCTCTTTTCTTGTGCTGATCTCGCTTTGTTCATTTGAATGCGACTTTCTCTACCCAGAAATGACAGGCTGGCTGTCACACACATTAAATGACACATTAAAGTCAAACAGGAATGAATTCTGTAAATGTTGTGTACATATGCAGTGGATTAAGTAAAACAAAAGCATCACATCACCACGCCTGTTACTGGATGGATCTGAAGAATACACTTAGTTTATGAGTAACAAAATCTATAAAACATTCCCACACAGAAATCCTATGCATTGATATATACAGCATCATGTGTGTGGATATCAATGTCCATAACTGATCAGCATGTGAAAAACAAAGAAATGGGAATGATCTAAGGGACGGGTTTCAAAACACATTTTATGAAAGAAGATCTCCAGGTCATTTTTTTATTAACACTTGTAGTGGAGCTAACCCCCTCACTGCAAGGGTTAACTGCTCATTTTTGTCTACGGTTAAAAATAACAAAAGTCACCTGATCCTTGGAGGCTCTGACTGCGTCCCCTAAAGTCTGTCTCCTCCTACACTGCACTGATCTTAGTCCCTTGGCGCCCTCAAATCTATACACAGTATAGAACGTGATGATTTATGGAACCTTAGAATGCTGCAACAGAGGGGGAGATGCACTCCAGGGGCCGTTCTAAGGCCCCGTTCACACCAGGGCGGCAGCGTTTCAGCGTGGTTTCCGCATGACTTTTGAAAGGCTGTTTCTGTGCGTTTTTAATCGTGTTCCAGAGGTGAAATGCAATTAAAATGCCCAAAAACGCAATAGTCATCGCGTTTCCATTGAAATGTACACGGAAAACGTGCCGATCAGTAGTAGCTAAGGGAGCATGTTGGGCGACAGGCTTTTCGGATTGCCAGGATCCGCGCGCTTGCATGAACGGTCCCCAGAGGAATGTATGGGATTGTTCATGTAGGCGTTTCAGCGCGACCGAAACGACCTGGTGTGAACGGGGCCCGAGAGCAAGCCAGCTCGGACAATCAGCAGAGTATAACTTTGTTATTTTCAGCCCTAGACCAAAACGATTCCCCACTGCAAGGGTTAATAAAAAATGACCTGGACCTCCTATTTGAATCATGGTACAGTAAACTTAAATGTAAACCCCAGCCCAAAAATATCCCACAATGTAATTAAAATGTTGTGACAACTGCTGCTGCTACAACTGAACAGCAGCATACATCAAAGAGGTAACGGGTCTCTATGGTCATAACTAAAAATACATCTGTATTTCCATATTAAAATTCCACAAGTTCTATCCCCACTCCTAATAATCATATTGGATGTAGAAGTTTGTAAACTTACTTATTGAAGATGCCCATAGGTTGTGCTTCCTCAATGCAGCGGCACAATTGTACTCAGCCGTGTGCATATGCTCTTCCTTGTGTCACTACTCTAAGTAAGCTTACGGTCTGAGCTAGAACTCAACTTCTGAACAATGTAACATTATTATTGCTTGCAGAAAGCAATGTGTTATGGGATATGTAGTCTTGAGACATCTAGACTGCATCACATCAAGCAGCAGGGAAAGAGACACAAAGCACACTCGGAATCCAGGAAGCTGTTGGCAGTGATGGGCAGACAGAAGGCAGCACTCACTACATTAACCAGTTGACATCCGCTGTGTTAAACCCCCTTCCCAATTTTTTCAAGTAATCCTTGATTGCATTATCAAACTAGGCTATAGTATAAATTCCTATTACAATGCTGATGGTATAACAGGATAGTGTATGATGTGACTTTGCAACTCCTTTAAGGCAATCAAAGACAAAGGCAAAATGCTGGCAACATAGTGAAGCTCAAAGAACGTCAACACGGATGTCAAAACTTTGCAATATGAATATATGTCAGCATACAATATGGATAAGTATGACACCGCAGGAAATACTCCAGAGACAGATGAAAATCTGATATGGAGATAGAACATGAAATGAGGAGCAAGTGCGCTGTATTGTATTTCACTCATATCGGTACAATTGGCAATAAAAAATGAAGCATTGGCTTACTGAGACTCCATGTCCAGTAATTGAGCAATGAAAATAGAAGCAGCCATAGACTACAATGGTATCAGCACAATAATAACCTTTAGACTTTGAGTATCCAAATGTCAGTTGCATGTACAGTAAATAGCTCTGTAGAAAATGCATATTCCAAGAAGAAAAGTTAGGCTTTGACATGGAGGTGAAACAGCAACACAGGCACCTGTGAAGCATATGGTACATGCAGGCACCTTCTACAGATGAGAACTTGCCATTTGGGAACTGACTGATATAGTAAAAGCACCATTCCATAGTATAGCTCCATACCACCATTCCAGAAAATCCCTCAGAAAGTCTTCAGTATTGTTCCCATCCAGGGACATAGCGGTCTCAGAGAATGTCAATTTTGCCCCAACCCCCCATACACCAGGTTTCTACCAGAATGTTTCATTCCCCTCAGTGTTTCCCCACCATCTGCAAACCACAGTGGGGTTTAACATTTAACTCGCGAATACCATGTGATTCATTCAAAATGTATTTTGATAATCGTCCCATTTACAGTTCTTTTCATACACTTAGTTCATATTTACCTGAAATATCCAGTGGCAGACAAGCTAATTGACTGCAAAAATGCCTCTTTTACCTGAAACAAAAATCAAAACTATAAATGACAAATTGACAAAAAATAAATCTCCATTTTCTGGCGACAGGCATTGCATGATACCTCCATTTATTATATAAACAGGTGTAGTGATGGCAGAGTCTCAAACCCCACCACTGCTGTCAGAATGTGACATGTCACACTCAGCCTTACCCTGCGGGACAACAATCTAAGCATCCACAGACTGTCACTGGGGTGGTTAACCCCGCGATTAACCCTTCATGCTAGTTGCCACCACATGTTTTAGTGTAAACCCGCACTGCGTACAGTATCTTCTCTAGCAATTCTGACATTTAAGAAATGTCTGTGACACTCACTGATAACGGAGTTTACAATATGGCAGCTTTCTTTAAGGACACGGGGAATCTTTAAATTCCGATTAGAACATTTTAGAGATTTCGTTTGCCTGGCCTTTGGTTTTGGTAGAATCCAAGGCATTGCACAGTAAGTCTAATCTGAAGTATAAAAGTCATCTATTCTCATGAACGAACCTTAGCAATTCATCATAATTTTGGTGGTAAATTGAGATGAAAGGGTTAAAAGGTATGTGCTGATGGGTGTTAAAGGGTTTTATTATATTTCGGCGGACACTTCCTCAAGGCCAGATTTTCTAAATGCATCAATATTTCCTGATGACCATGTGTTACAGTCCAACAACCAACATATTATTGCACAGAATGAAATCAGGATTTCATAAAGACCAAGTATTATAAAAACTGGAGGCACACATCACCTAGGAGATGCCCGATGACCAATCTGCCTTCTGAACATTATAGCATAGGCATACTTGGTACCTACTTGAATGTTATTTTCTTTCACATTTGGGTAGACACTTGTTATGAATGTAGTGTGTGTTCGCATATCAGTATGTATGGAAAATGAATAAGTTTTTTGTACTGGCATTAAAAAAAAAAACATGGACTAGTATATGTATTTCTGGAATGTTATAACAACTATTTTGCAATAGGACTTTGTTAAAAGTCTCTAGCTTAATGCTGACAGCCAATTAGCCATTTACAACAGAGTTCAATAACTGGCTGCACAGATCCTGGCCGACCAGGATTTACTGTATGATACTGCTAGAAATTTTACAACCTTCTGCTAACAGAGTTTAAGATGGCCTGCTTTGTGCTTGAAGCTGACTTGGGAATTTGGGGTTCATCAGATATAATTATCATCACATGTGTCATTGAGCCTGCAAGAACACAGCCTTTGTTACACTAAACCCTTCCCACAACAAATACTTTAACCACTTGGTGACCGGGGGGGTTTAGACCCCCTTCCTGGCCAGGCCATTTTTCAGTGTTCAGCGCTGCGGTACTTTGACTGACATTTATTCCGTCATGCAACGCTGTACTGAAATGAATTTTATACCATTTTTTGGGGACAGATAGAGCTTTCTTTTGGTGGTATTTATTCACCACTACGGGTTTTTTTTTTTACTGTATAAATAAAAGAATTACAGAAAATGTTGAAAGAAAACCTGTTCTCCCTACGTTATGTTATAAAACATTTATTATTACCCAATTTTTTGGTAAAATATGAAAGAGGGAGTCACGTCGGGTAAATAGACACCAAACATGTCAAGCTTTAAAATTGTGCGCACCCATTAAATCGCAAAAAACTCCCATACTCAAAATTGACCATAGCCGACGCTTCAAAAGCTTTTACCGCTCATCAGTTTAGTGTTATCAGTGATTGATGACCCCAGAATTATTGCTCTCACTGACGTTGGCGTCGATATGTAACATGTGCGGCGCAATGGATGTAATCAGCGTTTTCGCAAGTAGGCGGGCTTGACGCATGTTTGCGTGTGCATGTGGGGGCGGGGGGACTTTAATTTCTTTTTTTTTATTGCTTTGATTTTTGTGATTATTTTTTTTTGTAAAAAATTTTTTGAAACCTTTTTTTTTTCACTGAACTTTATTGCCATCACATAGGGAGCAAGCAATCTCCCTATGTGATAGCCAATTTGCAGTGACAGGTCCTCTTTATGGAGACATCAGGGGTCTTAAGACCCCCAGAGAAGCTGATGAAGCAGAGACCTCCTTCACCGGCTTCTCTCCGGTTTCTGTACCAGAGAGAGTGACACTGAATGCAGGCAGTGATGTAATACACATCACTGCCTGCATTCAGAAGAGGAGATCCAACGGAGCTCGTGTACTGAGCTCCGTTTGGATCTTCGGCCACAGAGCTGTTGTGCTGTTCCCGGGCTCACACCGCGAACAGCGGAGCCCGGGATCGCTGTGAGGTTTTTACTGCTGTCTGTATCCTCATTAGAAAGATTTAATCTCACTTCCTGTCCTTGAGACAACAGGAAGTGAAAGGAAATCTACCCCTAGGAAGGGAAATTCACTCCTGTAAGAGTGATCATGGCAAAAAGGTGTTTCCACTGAAGCTTTATCACCAATCCTTGTTTCCACGACAACCCAAAATTTTCAAAATCCAATTGTCACAGAGACAGAAAGTGAGGGGAAATCTTCTGAACATGGGCACACACAGCAAAACAAACATTACAGGAGGTAAACCCTTCCCTCCAAAACAACAACAACAATTGTTAGAGTTAGACAAAATGTACCAGTTCCAACTTACATACAAATTCAACTTAAGAACAAACCTACAGTCCCTATCTTGTTCGTAACCTGGGGACTGCCTGTATAAGCAGTAAAACTGACAAGTACTAAGATATATGTGTTGTCTGTCAGTCTTTCACATTATAAATAGACGATAAAATATGGACTTAAACAACTATAAGAATGACAGTTCTGTGTGTTTAAACATATTACATTTATCAAGACATAAGAATCTAGAAACTTCTCAAGTTCTGAAGTTTCATAAAATACTGTCAGTTAGCTCAGCTACCCAGTACCATCTAGTGGTGCTGCAGAGTACTGACATTGTAGACTGAATTGTGCAGAAGATAAACTGTCTTATTCAAAAAATATTCAAATCATTGAAGCAGAGTGTTTAAAACACTTCTCTTGTGGTACCAGTGAATACAAAATTGTGTTGCTCAGTGCTGCCAAAGAAAAATGTACAATGTGTTGTTGCACAGAAGAAAAAAGTAAAGGCTACATCAGCAATGCCCAGCAAATGACTAAAGTATTACAAGGTTTCTATACAAATTATTACTTATGAAAAGGTATACTGGAAATAAGAGAATCATTTGGCTCTTCTTGCCCCCTTATCTTTGACTGTCAGCAGTTGGTGTTTGAGTACTAAATTATGTTTAGCTTAACTAGAGGAATAATATAAAATGAACATGCTTTAAAGTGGACCTTTACCCCCTTTGGACTAAAAATCACATCAGCATACAGTTCTGCATGCTGATATGAAATCATATTACATTCATTAGCTAAACAAACCGTCTTATTTTACTTACAATTTATTGTATTCTACTTCCTGGCCCACTTTGGCACAAATGATGTTATGTGCCCAAGCATTGCATCCTGGGAAGGTTACATCTGCAGAGCATTGTTGGGAAATCTCATCTGTAGTCTCATAAGATCTCAGGGAAAGGCATTTTCCTCCCCTGAGATGATGTGCATGGTCACATGTCCTAGTCACATGTGCGATAGTTCCAGGAAGTAAAGGGAGATCTAGTTACCTGGCCTTAGTTTAAATGGCCACTGTCAGATGACCGGGAAGAAAAGATAAATAAGGTATGCAAAAAATAAAAAGCTGTCAATTATCTAGCATGTGTTTGTAGATTGTCATTACTAAACATTTCTAAAGGTGTATTTGTTGTTATTTTGAAGATATGGGTAAATGTCCTCTTTAAGTGATGCTTATTATTATTAATAATAATAATAATAATAATAAGTTCACCTAGGTCTGCAGGGAAAAATAAACTACAGAATATTCCCCTTTCTTATGGCTTCAAAAAACTTTAAAAGGACAGGTCTAAAATACTCACATTACACATTAAATCTAAACCAGAAAAATGTGTCAATATCTTGGACAGCTAATTCAGAATTATATGTTTTACTTAACTGGAACTTTGCATTTATACCTGAGCTGTGCCTAAGTGTGCTTGTGCGTGCTCTGAGTACATTTGTTTGTTTGTCCTGTGTGTGGACAAATGTGTATGTGTTTGCTGTGACTGTGTGAATGCACTCCATTTTCTGTGTGCTGTAAGGCTGGGTTCACACCTGAGCGTTACTATAGGCGCGTTTTCAGCTCGTTTTTAGCACGTTTTATAGTTCAGTGAAACACGCGTTTGACGCTCGTTCTGTCACCTCCCTGGCAGTATGATTTTTTTTTCCTTTTTTGCTCTTTCTTTTTTTTTTAACTTTCAAACTTCCCGCCGGTTCCGCCACCATGCGACGCAGACCCTCCAAAGGGACGGAACCCGGAAGACGGCAGCGGCCGGAAGACACAGCGGGGATCGCGGACAAGGTAAGACCTACGCTGTATTCCCGAGTGTGGCTCGGGGTTACCGCTTTGTTAACCCCGAGCCACACTTGGGAATATCAATGGATACGCGCTGCAATCGGCCCCTACGTGCGAAAAAGAAGCTCGTGGGAACCATGCCCATAGGGATTGATTGGATTTCACTTCTTGAGCGTTTTTCAACGATTCGATCAGCGCTGAAAAACGCCCAGGTGTGAACCCTGCCTAAGAGAGGAAGGCCCACAGCCATGACATCCAAGTCATGCAATAAGGCTATAACCTTTGTTCTTTGGATAAACGTGTATCACACTGTTGTGCATGGGCCATGAGGATGTAGAGCTGAATATGTGCAGGAACTCTTTAGTGCTGCTGACAAGAAGCAATAAGCATTCTTCTCTTTTTTTGTATTATATAAGATGTTTAGAGCTACGTGTAGGTAAATAAGCAGTAGGAGGATGCTAGATTAGGAAAACACTAAACATTACAGCAACACTTACCCAGTCTTTCCATGAACCTTTAGGATTAGCCTCTTTAATGGGTTCCAGACGTTTAATAAGAGTTTCACAAGCACTCTGTAAAAGAGGAAGAAAAGACTGAGCAAACGAAGAGAAACACTGACGCTAATTTATCGGTCTAAAGATGGCCCTTGCGGGGCTGAATGAGAAAAAAACTCTCAGTTCACCGATCCACACTAACAGCATGGATGGAGGAATCTTCCCATTCCCCCCACAGTCTGGTCTATTGTACTTTGACAGTGGAGGGTGTTTTGCTGTAAAAATACCCAAACAGTGATTGCAGCTGATTGGCTTGGGAAAGGGGGG